TCTGTTTAACAACTAACCCTCAAAAAAGCCTTTCCCTACGATACAATTTCACAGTTGAAAAAGCTTCCAGTGAATGAAGGGAGTAAGTGAGATTACTGAAAAATCAAAATACCTGTAGCGGTGATTTTGCACAAATCTCATCTCAAAATACCATTTTAAATAATTTTTTTTTTGCTGCAAGACCCCACGTAACTTTTCAACATTAAAATCGTCTTTCTAAAAATCACAAAAATGTTACTTATACTTACCTCCTTCATTCGCTGGAGCTTCAACCTACCCTTTGGTACACCCAATATTCATTCATAAAATGTGAAGTGTAAGTACGTATCTGTCTGTGCTTTATAGAAAGCACACATAAAGAATGTATTGAGGAATGCGACTTCAAGTATATTTACATGCGCGTATACCGCTCTTTGAGACCTCAAAAATCAAACTTAAAAAAATCAATTTTTCGCTAAAAACTACGGAAAACGGCAAAACGGCCTTCTGGTACGCTGTAATTTTCAAAAAATTACCCCCCAGACCCCCCGGCGTGGGGGGCGCCAAAATCTGGGTTTGCACCCCCCTACGTGAAACGTAGATCCGGCCCTGCTCGGATGGCTTCCAGGACTTTATGTCCACCTACCTTTCGTCCATTAAATAAATGCCCACCGCTATTTATGTCCACTAAACGTTAAGTCCAGTCTTTATTAAGTCCACATGATTTAATGTCCAACCATGAATATGTCCAAAATTGTCCAAATTGTGGACATGTTACGTCCACATTCTTTTCTTCTCATTTAAATCACAGGAACCACCTCAAAAATAAATGCTTACTACTACTACCTTCATTCTTAAAAACATTTCATTCATGAATCAAGTCATGAAAAAGAACCGACTCTAAGAGCAGATAAAAACATATGTTCATGTGTACACTGTACGGATATGATGAGACGAAAACCAAAGCGGGAGCCTAGGAAACGCTCTAATGCCAAATTAAACATTTTTCAGTAACAGATGCAGTCAAAATTGGAAGTCCTCTTTAACTTCACAGAAAAAAATGAATGGTGCTGACGACAGAACCTTTTGTTCATACGGCTCCCACAGTTTCTTTGTTACACTTACAGAACTTTCTGTCGTGGGAACAGAGTACTCTGTTCCCACGACAGAAGTTCTGTTCTCACAACAGAAAAGTTCTGTAAGTGTAACAAAGAAACTGTGGGAGCCGTATGAACAAAAGGTTCTGTCGTCAGCACCATCCATTTTTTTCTGTGTTGTTATTTCGTGCGCCCTCAATCTTATAGGATACTGTGCAACGCCTCTGACGCGAAATAGTTGCTTAAAGCGTTGCGTTGCGGCGCGGCAGGCAACCACCGTGGCACGCGCATAAGCGCCTACAAACCTAACGGGATACTTCACGCATTGCGCAATGCGTGAAGTATCCCGTTAGGTTTGTAGGCGCCAGTGCGCGTTCTGCGCTGCTAACACGCCGCTCCGCTCTGTGTTAGGCTCTAATATTTAAACTCGCGGAGTCAGCGTTTTTCAACTCATGATTTTGAAATTTTTGCATTCTCTGCATTGATTATTCCCTTTTAAACCGATGAAAAAGAAATATGTACTACTGGAAAATATAATGTGTTTTTTGTAATTATTCTTTTATGTTTTGGGCTTTTACCGTGCTGCAACGTGGTGTAAAGCGCAACCAAACGCTCAAAATTGGACGTATTTGACTCAAGGAGGTCGATGCACAAATAAGTAAAAAACAAAAAATTGCGTGCTTCTTAGTTTTTTTTCCTCTTTTATTAATTTTTGTATAGTGTTTTTCATCACAACTACGGCTCATTGAGATTCATGTCGATTCCATTGCTTGGAAAAGGTTTTACAAATATTTACCACGTTTTAATAATGTAAATGTTTTTAAAATGAAGTAATCGATTTCGTTAAAAAAAAAAAAAAAGAATGTACATTTAAGGCATATTTTATATCGGAAATAGAAATGAAACCAAGTATTTACCAAAGACAATTTGAAAAGATGAATCAAAAGAAGAAATTAACATTTCATTTAAAATAGGAGTTACGATAACAACACCTCAATCTCTCTTAATTTTCTCATTTCGATATTGTCAATATAATTTTACACACGGACTAAAATATGACGCTTGAATTTGATTTTAGTGGACTTTACATTTGTGGACTTAACTTAGTAGACGCTTAAGTAATGGACTTAACAATAGTGTGGGCCTTAGAACTGTGGACGTAAAAATTATGGACGAAAAGTCTGTGGACGTAAAAAAAAGGGACAAGAAGTTCGTGTACCAATTGAAAACAAGTTTTGAGGGTTTGAAACCCGAGGGCCGCATTGCCACCTACGACTTTCAACAATGATTGTTGTTCACGAAACCGGCTCCGCCTGAGAGTCTTGAACTCATGAGCCCTGTCCACAACGCTTGTGTGGCATGCCCATGGCTCATGAGTGTCGCATTCAGTTGCCACGTAGTTCCGTTTGACAGAATGTAAAATCCCGCTTTCCCATTTCCCCAAAGGAAATCACGCCCTCTTTAATATTGTTTCTTGTGCAGCTAACCATGAGCACACTCCATCTTTTCCACACAGAAAAAAATACAACGTCAGAACCTTCCGTTCACAAGGCTCCTGCAGATTCTTTGTAACACTTACAGAATGTTTCTGTTGTGAGAACAGAATTTCGGTCGTGGGAACAGAGTACTCTGTCCTCATAACAGAAGCTTCTGTAACTGTTACAAAAGAAGCGCAGGAACCCTGCGAATATAACTATTTTTTCGGTGTTTAGAATGGAGATGTTGCATGTGTGAGGAATGTGCGATTTGACTGTTGATTCTAATGTAAAAGTTCGCGAGAAACACGATGGTCTCACTGGTTTTCTCTGGAATCATCTTCCAAGCTCAAAAAAGCTCTCAATTTGAGGCCAAAATGGAGGGTATATCCCATCCTACACTGAGAGTCCACCTCTACATCAAGACGAACTCTCCATGCAAATATGGGGAGCAAATACATTGACAGGGCTGCCACTTTATTTGGGGACTCCAAAACTGAAAACACGGCATCCCTGCTATAATAGTCCAGGCGCCTGGTAAGTCTACCTGGAATTTTGGGTACACAGCGATTTTTTTGGCCTACTTTATGTTTTTTGGGTCGCTGAATCCGAATCTGAAGTTTCCGCACGCGTATCTGGTGAGCATTTTCCGCTATTTTGAAAAAATGGCCTAAAAAGGCCTTTTTTTGCGGTTTTTTTGATAAAGCGGCTACGGATGAAGAAAAGTCCCGGATTTAGCTAATGTTTTGAATAGCTGACATAATTTGGAAGAAAATAGTCCAGGCGCCTGGTAAGTCTACCTGGAATTTTGGGTACACAGCGATTTTTTTGGCCTACTTTATGTTTTTTGGGTCGCTGAATCCGAATCTGAAGTTTCCGCAGGCGTATCTGGTGAGCATTTTCCGCTATTTTGAAAAAATGGCCTAAAAAGGCCTTTTTTTGCGGTTTTTTTGATATAGCGGCTACGGATGAGGAAAAGTCCCGGATTTAGCTAATGTTTTGAATAGCTGACATAATTTGGAAGAAAATGGTGTATACATATGTTAGGTTTGCTTAAAAATTGAGGAAGATACAGCATCGTGAACATCGCGCCTATTCACGTTTTCGCGGCGCACCCGTCAACGCGCGATCCGGCTCGCCGCGGTCAGCCAAGTTCCGAAGCGTTCTAAAGTTCCGAAATCCGAGGTTCCTCAATTTTTGAGCAAACCTAGCATATTCATATACCATTTTCTTCCAAATTTTGTCAGCTATTCAAAACATTAGCTAAATCCGGGACTTTTCCTCATCCGTAGCCGCTATATCAAAAAAACCGCAAAAAAAGGCCTTTTTAGGCCATTTTTTCAAAATAGCGGAAAATGCTCACCAGATACGCCTGCGGAAACTTCAGATTCGGATTCAGCGACCCAAAAAACATAAAGTAAGCCAAAAAAATCGCTGTGTACCCAAAATTCCAGGTAGCCTCATTTTTAGCTACCAGGCGCCTGGACTATAATGTATTTGCTCCCTATCTTTGCATGGAGAGTTTGTCTTGACGTAGAGGTGGACTCTCAGGGCAGCGTGGGATATCCCCTCCATTTTGGCCTCAACTTGAGAGCTTTTTACGAGCTTGGGAGTTGATTTCAGAGAAAACCAGTGGCACCATCGTGTTTCTCGCGAACTTTTACGGAGGAATCAACAGTCAAATCGCAAATTCCTCGCACATGCAACATCTCCATTCCGTTTGGCAGAAATACGTCAATTTTTAACAACTGGAGGAGAAGCCCATTCTATGACTTTCTTCGGGATTCCGTTCATTAAGTTGGGTTGTTTTTGCAGGAGATCTGTTCATGGGCCCGGACTATCGGATCACGGGGACGGCGCAGATCCTGCGGGCGGTGCGCGACCACATGGTTCTCACCCTCTGCTTCCGCAACAGCACCCAGATGAGCGTCCTCCTCGTCCGGGAAAAGACCCACAACTACTTCCCGATCCTCAGCAACACCCTCCACGAGTTCCTCCACAGGCAGAACCTCAGCTTCACCGAAGTCAAAGTCGTCTGCAACGCCGGCCCCCAACTCACCGTCCCCAACGCTCTCCTGGCTTTGCTTCTTCTGTCCTTCGTCTTCTTCAGGAACTTCGACCTGAGTCGCGCTTTGAAGATACACCATTAGACGCAAGTAGAGTTTATAACAGAAACAAAGCCCCCGTGCTAAGGAAAAATCCACGTTGTAAGTCGGCAATCACATAACTCGGTTTGCGACGTCGCAGTCTTCCTGTCATACTTTATATTTTTAGCGGAAAACTAATCAACGGCAATTCTTTAAAACTTCCGTGATTTTTCTTCCCTGTGCGAAGAAAATTCTGCAAAATTTTCAAGGCATGCTGTCAATTTGTTCTCCATTGAAAAAATAACTTAGAGGCGGAAATCTTCAGACGCTGCAAACGAGATATCGACGGTGAAACTACCAAACCACGTATCTCGGTTTGCGACGTCGCAGACTTCCTGTCATACTTTATTTTTTAAACGAAAAACTACTCAACATCCAGTCTTGAAAATTACTGTGATTTTTCCTCTTCGTGCGGAGAAAATTCTGTGAAAATTTCAAGGAATGATATTGATTTGGTCTACTTAAAAAAAAATAAAATGTGAGCGTAGATTTTTAAACACCGCAAACGAGATACGTGGTTTGGTAGTTTCACCGTCGATATGTGATTGCCGACTCACACCGTCGGTCGGTATGTTGCCGCGCTAAGGAAGAACGCCGTATGAACCTTTAGGTTTACCAAGTTTCCTTTGATAAAGCACGAATTCCCTGGTGAACTTATGAATATTTTCGTTCTGATTTTTCAGATAATTCTGTTCGCAATTTGACCTGAAGTTCCTGAAAATTCCAAGGGAAAACATTCATAACTTTCCTCAAAAATAAACTTACCGAAGAAAAGTTGGCAACTCTCGAATGTTCACACGGCGTTATTCCTTAGCATGACAGTATGAGCCTTCAGGCGTTGCCAAATTTCCTCCGATAATATACGCATCTTCAAGGAGAATGTTGTACATTTTTATCTCAAATTTTCCAGACAATTTTGTACACAATTTAATAAAAAATATCTGAAAATTGCAAGGGAAAATAACATTTTTTACCTCAAAAGTTCGTGTGTATCTGGGGATATTTGGCGACTCTTGAATGTTAATACGGCGTTTTTCAATTTGTTAAAAAACTCCTTTTATGCGCCTTTTCTTCCATGCCCCTCAAATGGCATTGGAGACATTCGGAGACCACTAAGCACGAGAACTACGACCGAAAGTTACAATTAAATTATATTTTGCAATTAATAGTAAACTAGGACCTACAATTTCTGGCTCAGTTTACAAACAACGTATGTATTACTAGTTTCCCGATGCACATAAGTATTTTTACGTATAAGCCTGAAATTTTAGTTCCTAATTGTAAAAGGTGGACTGAATAACCAGGCAACGAAGCAATAATATGTACATTTTGATTTAATTGCAACTAGGCGCTGGCACCACGAAAAAGTGCCACTTTCAATCTATTTATTGTAATATATATAAGTATGCTTTTCTAATGTAAAGGCTTGTACATACCTTCCTTAAACGCCACTGAAAAGAAATCTTAAATTTGTCGCCAAGAAATATTTCTTTAAATCATGAATGATACTGCTTAATTTAAGATACTTTTTTTCTTATCCCAAGTTTTTTTTTCTTGTTCCTGGAGAAATTCAACTAGCTTGGATCGAGATGAAAATATCTCTTGGCGGCAAATTTAAGATATCACCAATCATGAAACAAAAACTTATTTTTAGTGTGATTTTTTTACAGTATAGTTTAAGTTTTAGCATGTATTGGAATTACTTTTAACTTTATTCTCAACGTTCTGAGTGTACAATGAATAAGATATTGACGTCATTTAATTTTAAGTAATAATATATAAATGCACAAAACGTGTCAGCGTTTTCCAAATTTTCTGAGACTCTTTAACATGCTTATCTTTCAACAAGCTACCAACTACTGTAATCTAATACTTTGGACAATTTACCGGTAACTAGTTTATTTTTCTTAGTTTTTCCATTTTTTCTCCAACTCAATATTTTTTCGAGTATTTCTTATCACGCAATCAAACAATACCTATTATAGCTGTAATAATTGCACCTGCTTCTTGAAATATGCTTTGTCTAACTTTAACCTAAAATCGCAGGATCGAAGACTTTTGCGGGTATGAGATCTACCAAGATTTGTATGAATTAACTAAAAATACTGAGACATTCCATTCCCCCAGTATAGACCTTCCATTGTTTTAAACTCACGACCACTCAGGTAAACATATCATGAAAAATAATCTAAGATATAGTGCGAAATTCGCTACAAACGTCACGAAAAATGTAGAGGATAAGGCTTAAGTTATTATTTGTAAATAATTGTTAGATCGAATAATTAAACCACCAATGATTCTGAAATCTGTCAAAATTTAAATTTTCTTTTCGTTACTCCTCGTTTGTTTGATGTATCATCATCATCATCATCATCATCACAAATTCATCATCATTGCGCCGGTCGGCGTCGAACGCATATTAGCGCCTACATGACGGCATGAATACTTCTCGCATTGCACCAAACGCGATGCGAGAGTTATTCGCGATAACTATTCGACTACGGGTACTCGACACTCAACCGCGCTCCCTACCCTGTCTTGCGCGACGCTAAAATCGCCGCAAAACTAGGACCACGCGTCATTTTTTGAGGGTCCCTACCCAGTTTCTACCACAATTAAAGGGTAAATATGTATCTTAATTGCAACGATTCAGACGATGTTTAAACGATGCAGCTATTCTGAAACTTGATCCGCGTGCAATTAGTTTTGCTTTTTTTCCACAGAATATTCATTAGGACTAGTTATGCTTGAAATCGTTAATATCTCATTTTTTTCAAAAAACTGTACTTATACGCCTTGTCCTTCAAGCCCCTCAGTTTTAAAATTATTTAAATATTTTCAGAATTAATGAAAGAAAAATCTGGCCTTTACGAGCCTCAACTTCTTATTCTATTGATTGATATTGTTTCACTGTTTTTAAGTGAAACATGAGATACCATATTAAGTATTTAGTGAGTTTTGCTTCAAGAGGTGCTGAGGATGGACTCGTTGTCCAAATAAAATTAAAAAACTTACAAATAATAAGTTACCTATATAAAAATAAAAAACAATAAATAAAAAATGGACAAGAAATAATAACACAACGTATAAAGGCTAGACTTTTCTTTGATAAAATATATTTATTAATAACACCCAAAATGCGTGCCTCTAATTAAATATGTTTTTTTGCAATGAGCTACACTCGAGGCGGCAAACGGGTAGAGGGGGGGGGAGGGTTCTTGGGCGGGGATTGAAGGTGCAGAAAGGTTTAATAAAAAAATATTTTTCAGTGCCAAGTGATACCATTTGTGCCTGGTGAAGACTGCTAACGATGATTTTACACTTATCTACTTTTCTTACTCCGCGTTTAAGTCTCCAAAACAATTCAATGGCGTGGCGTGCTTTGCGATATATCGATGGTTATGCCAATTAAACCTATAGAAAAGGATCGATAAACAGGGTGTTCGCAGCGAACACCTTAATAATCGATTCTTTACCATAGGCTTAAATGGCAGAACAATCGATACATCGCAATTCACGCCACGCCCAAAAAATATGTACGTTCGAGAAAACGCTAGTGTTGATTGAATATACCGATACCTGTTTACCCATGAGAATTTGCACTGCGAATAGTTGCGTGCTCCTAGATCTAACAATACTTTCAGCAGAATCTTTTTAGCTTCTAAAAAAGTAAAGCAGACGCCTAAAAATTAGGCTTGCGTGTATAGGGACCTTTCGACATAGCATTCAACTTGAGCACTCTTAGCACTCAATTTGATTCACATCAATTTGACTATTCCTTTAAAGGAAGAGTATAGTCATCCATGTATTTTTAGTATAGGAAATTTCAGATTAAGGGAGTTAGGTGTGACTAAGAGTGTCGGCCACCCCTTTGGTATCGGGACTTTAGTAGGACAGGGTTCCCAGCGATCTGGAAAACCTGGAAAACCTGGAAAAGTCAGGGGGAAAAATGGCCTGGAAAACATGGAAAAGGCAGGGAATTTGCTTTAAAAGTCTGGAATTTGTTCAAGTACTGAGAAAAAAATTTAATAAATAAACAAATAAAAATAAAAGAATTAAAATTGAAATTGCAATTCCTTCGTTGTATTTTGAATTTTCCGCCAACTCATCCTCTTCATCGGCATTCGGAACGAATCGGAACTACTCGGAAGTGTTACGTGGCTCCTCCTGCAGGTCAGCCATAATGATGGGGGCATCTTGTGCGACCGGTTGCGTCTAATGAAAAAAGAGATCGCAGGAGCTAGCCACTCCTCTTTATCCTCTTCGACAGAGGCGTAGGAAGGGGGGCCAGGGGGGGCCTGGCCCCCCTAGAATTGAAAATAGTAAATAGTATCATCTGCCCCCCCCCCCAGAAATTCTGGATGTTGCAAAAAGACCTTCTTCAACGGTAAGTCTCTGTCGCCGTAGCCCGTGAGAGGATGCCTATAAATAGAAAAACCTGTTGAATGCAACAATTTCAAAGTATTTTAACCTTAAAATGTAAAAAACTGGGTGATTTTTAGGCAGAAATTGAAGGAAGATTAGCGCCACAAGTGCCTCGAGATGCGCTCAAGTAGAGTTAAAATTTCAAAAAATTTCCGGGGGAGGCCCCCCGAAGTCCCCCCCTGAGCTGGGGGGTATTCCATACCCCCCGGTGGTGGGAGGCCAGGCCCCCCCTAGCAAAATGACATAGCTACGCCTATGCTCTTCGATCGGGTAACTCTCAATCTTCAATGTAAAAGTTTCAAGTACACTCACTAGGATATCTTGCGCTTAGCTGAGAAGTATGTCTGCATGCTAAGGTAGAGGTTATTTTTTTTGTAACTCTGCCTTTTTTCCCTGGACAATACGCTCATTTAAAAAAATATATATGCATTTCTCAGTTTTTTTAAGAATAGTTCTTAATAGTTTGCAGAACGAAGACTGCAGGTTGGATTATTTTTTAAGAGAATCTGTTCAGTGCTCTTTTCCTTAGCATAGCAGCAATACCATGATGGGATTTATTTTTCAAATCCAAATACTACTATGAGTAAATGAAACAAATTGAAAAATCATTTGCTTTCACCAATGCATGTATCGTTTAAGAGGGCGTTTATATTTCGCACATTTTTTTTCCCAACACATTTTAAGTTTTTTTGTGATTTCATTCGTGTTATGATACTATCCTAATCTGGTTCTTATAAAAAAAAAGCTGAACCAGATCAAAAATTGATGAAAATAGAGGAGTTTTTACAAAAACCGGAAACTGCGCGCGCTGTCTCTTTTAAGGAAAATTATTTGAGTTTTTTCCACGGAAAAAGGCCTGGAAAAATTTTCA